TTTGAGTCAAGTGAATTTGAGTTATTGGAAAAACCAGTTTTAATAGCTATACTTGAAAGTGATGATTTTTATGTTGAGGAGGAAATAATTATTTGGGAAAGTATTCTCAAATGGGGACTAGCCAAGCATCCAGAAATTAATAATATTAATTATGTTAAAGTTTGGACAAAACAAAATTTTGCTGATTTAAGAAACACTCTGAAAGAATTGATTCCCTTAATTCGATTCCAGGATATTTCTAGTGAGGATTTTCATTACAAAATTGTTCCTTTTAAGAAACTTCTTCCTAAGGATTTATGGGATACTCTTTTAGAAAATTATTTGGTTCCTAATAAACAGCAAACTTTAAATTTATTACCATCAAGAAATCATAGAAATCCAAAACTTAAACTTGAATCACTGACAATCAATCAAAATCTTACATTGCTTTTTGCTAGTTGGATTGATAAAAAAACTCCACCATACACTTCATTCAGAGAAGTCAAATGTGAATTTAAACTTTTATATCGTAGCAGTAGAGATGGTTTAAATACAACTATATTCCATCAAAAATGTAATGATATCAACAAAACTCTTGCAATTGGAAAAATACAAAATTCAGAACAAATAGTTGGAGGTTACAATCCACTTAATTGGAATGAGAAGGAAAGTAAATATACAACTGATAGTTTTGTATTTAATATAAATAATAGAAATGATATTAATACTGTGCAATTTAGTTATGTTAATAATAATACTAATAATCAGCATGCAGTTAGGTGTCATCCTGATTGGTTACCTATTTTTGGTTATGGTTCTGATATTAATTTTCAAACAGATGGTAACATTTATAGTAATCCCACAACTTATAATAACATCAATATAGTAAATAATAGTAAATATGATGAATTAGAGGTTTTTCAAATAATTGATAAAAATTGAAAAATGAATGTGTATTTTTTACATAAATTTTTATTATCAATTAATTTATTAAATTTCTAGCAGAATAAATTCATTTTTATCTATAAAATTTATAAAAAAAATCATCTATCTTTGGGGCGTTCTTCCATACTTGTAGATTATCAAACATAGATCACATCATTATAATATTATGTTGAGATTTTTGGTAATTCTGTTAACACTTCCATATAATGCTGAACCCTATGTAGGTTTTACATAGGGTTTATTTTCCTGCGAGAAATATTCTATGGCGCAGGTCATATAAAGGCATCAAAAAATTGTGCAACTTCAAATCATTGAAGGGGGGTTTTTTTTGAAACCTTTATTGTTGTACGTGAAAATGAATTCGCAATTCACATATGTGAAATTCAAATTAGCCAATCAGAATTTCACCCCATTCCATAATATTTCAATTTCACATACAACAGAACCTAAGAAACAATGAAATAGAGAATTTTTTCAATTTTAATGATAAAAAAAAAAGCCAGTCATATTTTTTGTAAGCAATCAACAAACAATACATTACTAACAAATTTACATTCTTCCAATTAGAAAAATACCAAGACGAAATAAGCAAACCTCGCATTTTGGAAATGCTAAAAACAAATCAGATAACAAATTGAATAAAAATTTAGAATATGCATCAAGTGATGAAGAAGACTCAGATAAAGAAATTGATTATACAATTATTTAACTTATTTGTTTTATTCATTTATT